AAAACATCTTTCTGCAAAAGCTTTACCTGCTTTTAAAGCTATATCAAACCACTCTTCAGTCTTTATAAGTCGCTTTTCAAGTTTATCGCATTTTTTTTAAGTCTTTCTTATTAGTCAAGCTAGATGGGCTCTTGCTGAATATTAGAATAATATAAGACTTATATGTAATTTTATTCGAAATTGGTTTTTATTTGGGTCAAGAATACCTTAAACTTTTCAAATCTATATCATACCTAAACATAATATTAGTTCAGATTCACTATTATCAATACGTGTAAAATTTCTAGTAGCTGTAACAGTTTTACTATTCTTATTCTTTATACTAACTAGCACATCTGTAAACTACTCTAACAATTCAGTAATATATTTAGAGTTACCTTTTATATCAAAGTCAGATAGCTTGTTAGCTTTCTATCCGAGAGTATTAATTGTTGCATTATTTAAGATCCCAAATTCACTTCTATTATCTAAAAAAGATTCAGAAATAGATAAATTGTTTATACTAGCATTTAGATATTATAGAGATAAGAACCACTTATCTGATTTTAATTCTTCTTTCTGAACAGTATGAGATTAACATATTTTTCGCATTGCTAGTGAAAGCTTAGACAATAGCTAATCATATATTTCAGAGTGGTTAGTCACTAAATCAGAAGAAGGATTAGCAAAGTTACCAGATAAGTTTTTATTTACTGGTACTCATTTTTTTTTCAGAATCATTATTATACTATATATCATTTTCTTCATTATATCTACTATTTTCATTATTAGCTGAAAAGTTATAATTTATTGGTTGAAAAAGATAATATTATTGTATTCAATTTGATTTGGCTATTAGTTTTTTTGAGTTAATTGTTTATATTAAGATGAGATAACATATGCCCAAATTCATCTACTTTCTTCTCTAATCTTGTAGATTATCTTTTTGCTGTGGACAAGATCTTTGAAAAGGTTTTTCAGGATAATTTGAATCTAAATCTTCTTTACTATATATATCTAAATCATTTAAATGTTTACCTAAATTAATCTTCTTTCATAATTAAATTTAATAGAGGGGCTCTTGGTTGTCTAACTAGTTTAATGGTTTGTGAAACTTCATCTATGTTTTCTGTACTTTTGATAATTGAACTTCCTTTCTCAATTTTTCTATCTCAGTATTATAATTAAATTTTTGTTTCACTAATGCCTCATCAATCATTTTTTGTGTATCAGATATAGGAAATACTGATTGCAGAATTATAGGAGCTTCTATTATTTTGGTGTTATAGGAAGATTGTTGAGAAACTTGACTATTCAAATTTGGTGTGTGCTTTAGCCACATGTTTTTTAGTTCGGTGAAAAATGCATTAATACCTGCTGGATTAGCTATTCTTATCAAAGTGTAAAAATCACCTGTTAAGTAGCTTTTAAGGAATCTTATAACTTGCATGTCATTGTCTGCTACTCCTAATAATAGTGGCTGAACTTTAGCTTCATAAGTATCTGGAGTATCATAAGGTTGATATTTTTCTTGAGTCAATCTTTGTATAGCTGATTGCTGATTTTCAACTGTCTCTTGTTAGTATTTTGCTCTCATCCAAACTGTAATGTATCTGAAGAATTTATAGCTGGATTTTCTACTTCAAGATTATTATTTGCTAGTACTAGAACATATTTTTCATCTATCATAGATTTTAAAATATTATACTTGACTGCATTGTCAAAATCTCCTGTATTTGCATTCTCAAGAACTGTTATATGTTCATAATTGAATAACTTTATTCAAGTAATCATCAGGTGGTTTTTGACTCGTATAAGGTGAAAATTTTGCAAGAGCAGGAGCCATTAATTTTAATACTGGTAAACGTTTAGTATCAGCTATGTTTATTTAATTTGGTGAATTATTATGAAGTGCAAAAATTTGTTGCTGTAAATTTAAAATATTCTGGCACTCTGTATGAGTCTTATTTTTCCATTTTGTATATCACTCATAGAGTTTGTCTTTATTATATTCTAATAATCTCTTATTAGCTCTATATTGTTGTAGGTAGTAGGCATTTCGCTAATACAATAACTGGAAAGCAAAATTTTTACATAGCAATTCACTAATATGGGTTTATTTTTCTGCTATATTATCTATTATTCTATTTACCTAGTTTTGTGCATTAGTTTACAATTACTGAAGATCAAGCAATACCTGATCTTGCTCCTGCCTGTACATATCTCAGTCCCATCATACGTTTACTAGATCTTGTTGTAGATTAGTGTATTTACATCAGATTGATTTTGTTGATCTTTTAATTTGATTTGTTAAAACAGTTCTATATATTGCTGTATCATTTAGAGATCAGTCTATAGCATCAGCTAATTCAGCTATTGTGCTCATATCTAAATTAAAAGTATAATTATCTTAAGAATTTTTATCAGAATTAGATTCATCTTTATTATAATTCTATGCTTGTGAATTTTCTAATACCTCTCTTGTATTTATAAGCTCTAATCTATCTTGATATCTTAATAATGCTAATGCAAAATTTTGACAAAGCAGATCTGTAATACAATTTTTTTGCTGATTTATTTTATTAATTCTATTTATTTAATTAACTCTTATTATATTTATTTCCTGTTTAAGGCGTTCATTTTTATCTACTAATCTGGTTGTATAATCTTATGCTTTAGGTATATTTTTAGTTGATTAAGATATCTCTCATATTCTGGTTTTTAATTTTGTTTTGCATTCATCAAATTCTGATATTAATCTATCTTTATTAGAAATTTCTTTGTTTTTCTTTTTATTTTCTTTCTTGAGTTGTAAATGATTCTTTTTAATTTTGAAATTTCTTCTATTAATTCTTTTTTCTTTTGTTTAGAGAGTTTGATAGTATTATTTAACTCTTCTTCAAGAAATTGTATTCTCTTTTTCTGTATATCTATAACCCTTTTTAAGGTATATAGATATTGTTCAAAATTCTTATTTGATTCTGCTAATTGCGATACTACCTCATAGAGTTCTTGGTTAGATTGTTATAACTCCTCTATGTTTTTTATTACTATAATGCTATTTACTTACAAGTTCGTGCCCAGATATATATTGTTAACTATTTTTTATTATACTATATAATTCTAACAATAAGAAAAATGAATTGGTGAGAAATAGAGAAATCTATGAGTTATATTGGCCCACAGAAGGCCCATGATTTGAATAGGAAGATCGCATTGCAGAAACTATATTATAAGCCTGAAGGTTATTATTGAATTGCTAAAAAAATACAAGTTGCTTGTAGAAATACTAGTCATAATTTTTTATTAGCAGATATAAAAAACTGGTTAAATAAACAGATAACTTTTTTAGTTTATAAACCTTGACCAAGATTTATTCAATATGTATCTTTTAATAGCATATGAGATTTAAATAAAGTATATAAATCAGATCTTACACCTCTTTCTCATAATAAAATTAGTAATCGAATTTTTAAATATAGAGGTGTTATAAAAGATATAGCAACTAGATTTCGTAAAAGTTGTGCTTTAACTAATAAGTCTTCTGTATCATTAGCTAAAATGTTTAAAGCAATTTATAAAGATCCAATAATCATCTTACATAGCTAAAAGGTTTAATTGTAGATAAAGGCACTAAATATCTAGATGAGTGTAAAGATTTATTACTTAGTCATGGTGTAAAAATTATATAAGCTAAATCTAAACGTAGTATATTAATAGCTAAATGTAATCACTAAGAATTTGAGAAACATGCCTATATTCATCAAGATACTATAGATTTTCATTTACCATTATCTGAGAAATATCGATCTTAGGTTAAAGGTTTTTGTATTAATAATGATATTTATAATAATATTCCTACTTGATTAATTCATATGTCTCCTAATAAAGCTATAAAAAAAGCTTTAAAGGGTGAAAAAATAATTGCTAATCTATCTATAAAACATCGTAGACCTATTAGATTTGATGAACCTCAGTTAACCTATAAAGATTCAGTTTTATATTTACTTGAACTCAGAGAATTAGAATTTGGCAGAAGACACATAACTGATATGAATTAGTCTTCAAAAGTTTATCATATTAAAGAATCATTAATACAAAAAAATCAACTAGTGTTATACTGGCTTATAGATGAAAATAGAGATGGTCCTAAAAGATCATTTGTAAGAGAACAATTGATGAAAGTTGATAAAGTTGTGTATCTATCTAAATAGATTCTTAAACAATATTAAATTTCTAAACTGTGAATTCTTTGAAAAATATTATCTACTTCTTCTTTGGATCTTTTTTCTACAACTTCTTCCTGACTAGCTAATTTAAAATACAACTTATATAAATTTTCAAGACTAGTATATACTTCTTCATTATACTAATCTTTAAAGTCTGCTATTCTTTTATTATAGATATCCTTATTTAGAACTTACTGCTTTGCAACATATCTAACATGATCTTCTGGATCTCTTTTTCATTATAAGGTTTTAGGATAGTTTACATACATTGCTCCTAATTTGTCATATTTTTTGGTACCTTGACTATATGCTACTTTAATCACTTCAACTAAAGCTATTTAAATATTTTTGTAGTTAACTATTTTGTATAAGTATTGAATATTATTTGTATTAATATAGTGAAAACTTTAGTTTAAAATAAAATATTTATTTCTTATTACTATACGAGGTGAATATTTTTACAACTATTTACTTAGAACTAGATGGGTTTGTGGGCAAACCTGCTGTTGGCCAGAAGGTTGCTTTGAATATTGAAAAGCTAAATCTTGCATTCCTTGTAAGGTTTGTAGTAAGCTGACTAGCTCTAAACTTAGCCTTTGTAGAAAACATTCTAGTACCTATTATGTAACCTAATATTTTAATAGGCTTCAGAATAAAGCTAATGCTAATGATTTAATCTAGATAAAAATTAATGAATTACTTCTAGAGCTATTAGCAAACAAAACTAAAGAAGTAGGAGAGCAGAGTCTACAGATCAAAGCACTACAGGTAACCAGCATTATTGCTCTAATCATGAGCAAAAAATCAGAAGATACTGAAGATGAAGCTCTGATTTTCAAGCCTAGTAATGAGGTTATGATCTTTTAATCCAGAATCATTATCTCTGGTAATATTTCTAAAGTTTTAATTGATTCGAATGGTGAGAATATAGGTATTAACCTCTTTAGAGATTAGTAAAGCTAGATTATTTTGGCTAGTAATTTTTTATTTACATCCTGCTAGCTATTTTTTTTTATATCATGCTATCTGATTTTTTTTTTTACATCTAGAGATGAGATACTTTTATTCGAATAAAAATTGATGAATTGCTTTTAGAGCTGTCAGTGAACAGAGCTAAAGAAGCAGAAGAGCAAGTTCAAGTGTCTTCTCCAAGGTTGTAGCAAACTGACTAGCTCTGAACTCAGCCTTTGCAAAAAACATACTAGTGTTACTATGTAACCTAATATATTAATAGGCTTTGGAATAGAGCTAATACCTTTTCACAATAATCTACTAAGATACTTTAATAGTAACCCCAATGGCATGTTAAGATGTTTTGCAGATATAATTTTTTATACACCCAGTCTGCCTGCTTTCTTTTTTTATCTGTTTCTTGCTAACGAAATAGTATTTTTAAGATTAACAATGCTTTGGATATATAAGAAGATAAATTTACATTTTTAAGATTAACAAAACTTTAAATAGATAAAAAAATATATTACTTTCCTTAAAGTTAAAAAGACTTCAGATAGGTAAGGATTCAAATTAACAATCTTAATGAGTAAGAGAAAGTTAGAAAATATTCTAGATATAAAAAAAATATATCACAATATAAGCTTTCTAATTCAATTTTAAAGTCGAGTAGAGTATTGAACAAACCTATATTCTTAAGCTTAACAAGGCTTTAGATAGGTAAGAAAAGAAATTACTTTCTTTGAGATTAATAAGACTTCAGGTAGACAAGAAAACAAATTAGTAAACTTAATAAATAGAAGGCATTAGAGTAGATTTTTGATATATAAAAATTTATACCATGATTATAGAGCTTCTAATCTAATTCTAAAGCCAAGTAAAGTAGCAAAAAATAATATATTTTTTATATATGATAGTGAATCCCATAAGGCCTATGAGGACGATCCAGTAGTATTCTTTTTTATACATTAAGTCTGCTCACTCTCTCTGCTGCTTTCTGTGAGACCTGTTTTAGTGATTATTTTAACCTCTCTTTTGTCATATATTTCTATTTAGAATTTCTCAAGTTTGTTTTTTATTTGTATTCTGTTCAAAGCTTTTCATAGACCTACTATACTAACAGAATTAAAGGCTTTTTTGATATCTTGCAGTAGGATCCACATTTCTTTTTTATTCTGTTTGGCATCTTTTATTAAGTTGTATAAGAGGTAGATTAGTATAGAGATACTTTCTCCTTCCAGGCTAGTAAAGTTTAATTCTTTGTGTACTTGCTTTTCTAGTAAAATCTTACTGAGTCTTTTTTGAATGATTCTAACTAAACTTTTGTGAAAGGTCTTTAGTAGTATTATTGGTCTTATGCTTGCTAGTAAGTAATCCTATTCTGCTATTTTTGGAATTAGGAAAATCTGACTAATTTTCTATTTTTTCGAAAAAATACCTGTCTTTAGAATTAAGTTTGATAGTTCTAAGTATTTTGCTCTAGCTTTTGGACCTAAGTTTTGGAGCATTATATAGCTTATCATCTGAGGTCCCTAGTGCTGTTTCTTTTTTAGCTAGGTGAATATTCTCTATCCACTCTTCTTCCTCTATTGGATTTAGAACCTTACTATACCATTCTTCTTTGATATTTTCTTTGGAGTTATATTCTTTCTCCTATTCTTCTTTTATATAATCAAAATGGTGTTTTCATACTTTGAACTGATCTTTGTAATAATTATCTGTAGCTTTCTTAACTTCCTCAGAATCTATAAGAAGTATCTGAGAATTCTTGTTTTCGTTATCTTGTACTAATACTCTATCTATTAGTAATCTTTTCTAAGGTTTTTCTAGAATACTATTTAGCAGTCTTCTTTCTTCTTTATCTATCATTCTGAATCTAGCTTCTACTCTCTCTATAATTTCTTTTTGAGCTTCTTGTTATATCTTGCTTATATTTTTCTTTTGGATTACTTTTTTCTAGCTTGATACTTTATGGAACTATGTTTCAGTTTAGGTTTCTTCTACTTTTGGTATTTGAGTTTTCTGTTTTTTGTTTATATATTCTATTTGGAAGTTTATTAGGAGTTGCTTAATATGGTCTATTTGAACTCCTTCTCTTTCCTTTTCTTTCTTTAAGAGTCTGTTTAGGTTTTAGAGGTCTAAATAGAGAGGATTTGGTTCAATATTTTTATTAAACTCTTTCTTTGTCTGTTTGATCTTCTTAGAAAGAATGTTTTTGTTTGCTGATTTTAGGATAGCTTTTAGAATATTTTCCTATAGATCATTAATTAACCTTCTTTTTTCTTCTGTTCTTCTTCTTGAGGAGGTGGTCAACTTTTTCCTTGTTCTGTATTTAAATCTTGGCAGGATTTTTCAAAGTCTATTGTGAAGTTATCCCAATTTTCCTTAGTTGTGTCTTTGTATAGAAATATTTTTTTTTCTTTCTATACTTTTACATTCTGCAGTATATCCAATTCCCAGTTTTATAATTTGGTTTAGTTTGATTTGTGTCTAAATTAAATTGTGATTACTTTCTGTAACTAGTTCTATTTCTTCAATGTCACTTTTTCATAGTTCTTGCCTGAGGTCTTTGAATAGCCAGACTTGGTCTATTCTAGTCTGAGTTTTGGAGTTCTTTCAAGTAAACTTCCCTTCTTGAGGGTTGTAGGACTTATATGTTTCTGTAAATCCTGTTTTGTTTAACCAGGAAGTGAGTAGTAGTTTTTGTGTCTTGTTACGAGTTAGTAGTCCTATTCGATCAGTAGTAGGATTGAGTATATGATTAAAGTCTCCTCCTAGTATAAAGTATTCATTTTTCCTTTTTTCTATTATATCTCTAGTAATTACTTATTGAACTTCTCTCTGTTTGCACTTGTCATTAGGATTTGTTAACAGAAATTAATAAATAGACTCAGCAGTATATAAATATAATATTTTTTTTATAACAAAGTAATATACTACATAATAACTAATTGGAGTTATCTAGTAACAAGTAACTCTTATATAGCTCTAATTATTATATGATATTTACAAATCTGCTATTAACATAGCAGTCTTACAAGATAATACAATTTCATATTTAAGAATATCAATATTTTTTAAATAGTTAAATATTATTTCATTTTTTATTACTTTATTAGATAGTGGATGAAATTTTGGATCAATTATTGCTATTATATGATCAAATCCTTTTTTTCATAGTGCTACTAAAGGTTCATTATCAAGAAGAATCTATTCAACAACTCCTTTAATTATTTCTTTTCTTCTATTACCTTTATATAGAGTATTAACTTTAATCATTTCTAGTAATATAGTTTGTCAGTTTTTTAGTATTTCAGATTTTAGCTTTTTACTATTCACTATGTTATGTAATTATAGATGAGCAATCATATTGGATATTAAACTATTATAAACATACTCATTTCTGCATTTTTGGTCTTTTCTATTTTTAATGATAACATAACAAACATCTTTTGTTCTAATTACTTCAAAATACTTCTATATGAAACTTAATTTACTCTTACTTTTACTTCTTTTTTTAGAACTTATTAATTAATTTGTAAAAAGGGTATTATTGTTATCACTATTACTTTCATCAGTAGATATGTTTTTTTGAAAGCTTGAACTTAATTCTTAAGAATCTATATTTTCTTTATTAAATACTAGTACAAAAAATGATTTAAATATGATAAAATTAATATAAAGTTGAGAATAAATTTATTTAATTTACAAATTTTAATATAATTATGATGTATTTAATAGAGATATAATTATTATTTAGATTTTAAAGTAAAATTCTGAAATTTACTAAAGCTAAAATGTATGGTTTAAATACATTATTTAAAATATCTAAAAGTTATTCATCATAATCTAATTTTCTACTCTAATTAACTATTATATCTTTTCAATGATACAATTATGGCTATATAATTATGCTTTTCATATTGGGCTAATTGGCTTTGAATATCATTTAAGATTCAACTCTGCTTACTATGCAAAACCAGTTAGCTTTATATGTATATTTGACTTGTTTAGAGATGATCATTTGATATTATGCATTTTAACTTGTTGGCTTTAAATACATTTGACTTATTTGAGCA